GGGAAAGAAGCTTTGAAGTATTAAAACAACTCAAAAGGAAAGAATTTCATCACATTTATCGTATCAAGAAGATTTTAGGAATAAAGAAGTGTAACAGGGAGCTCAATTTATCTTGTCAAATTAGAAGAACAAACGACAGCTGAAAAAATTCTGACTTTGAGAGAAAAAGTTCACAGTAAACTGGAAACACGATGGGTTCATTAAATACAATTATCTCTAGTTAAAAAGAAAAAATTTACAGAACAGCAAGAACTGATCCCAATCGCAAACTTTCTTCTTAAGCAGAAGCATCTATCTTCAAAACTAATACTTACATAAAGGAATACAAAAATTTCTGACTTAATGAAATTAGAAAAACTGTACTAACATAGCCACTTAGAGCAGGAACAAGTAAACTGCTGCTTACATTTAAAAAGAAACAAATCACTACACTTTCATTGTGCATTTACACTAATACTCTTCCTAAAGCAGCATGTACCTCCCTATTTCTATGATTTTTAACTTCAGAGAAGACAATTATGTTAAAGACTGGTCATACCTGAAAACCCAAAAGAACAACGTACGAATTTTAAACAAGATAATGAACGTCGAAGAAGTTGGAGTATATTTTACCAACTTATAAAACCAAGCTATCTTTGAAGAGTTTAAGTCCCGTTTCAAAGAAATAATAACCTGTACCCATTAATCCACAGTGAAATGAAAAAGAATCTCTAGCTTTTCTAACTTTTTAGTTAGAAAAACTTTAGAAAAAATTGAAAAGTTTAAAGTGTAAAAACGGACAAATACATCTACTATTTAAGTTTCTTGCTTCACTTCACCTATAACCAGAATGTATGGCAGAGTACATGGGAAAAAAAAAGTACTTAAATTAAAGGACTTAAACATACCTGAATCACCTTGTCTACCTTCAGGTCTTCAAGAGAAGGGTAGAGAGACATTTTTGCAGGATTTTCCTAAAGAAAAAATAAAAAATTTCTATGATTCATATTTTTTTGAAATTTAAACAGTACATGCAGCCAGCAACATACATATAAACGTGTATAAATGTTTAACACAAGAGACGTTTAATTTGCAAAACATATGGAAAAATATGAGCATGCAGCTATACTAAAAACTGCTGGCTGATGAATGGTTGCCAAGCTACCTCTCTCTCCCTTCTGTGATCAAACTACACCCATTACAGATCTTAAACTTCCCTTAGTAAAAAGCCCCTTGATTTGTGAAGTTTAGAAAGTCAAAGAGGGGCTTCCCTGGTGGCACAGTGGTTGAGAGTCCGCCTGCCGATGCAGGGGACACAGGTTCGTGCCCTGGTCCGGGAAGATCCCACATGCCGTGGAGCGGCTGGGCCCGTGAGCCATGGCTGCTGAGCCTGCGCATCCAGAGCCTGTGATCCGCAACGAGAGGCCACAACAGTGAGAGGCCCGCGCACACCACCGCCCCCCACCCCCCAAAAAAAGAAAATCAAAGAGAACGATTATGTGACTCATCTAGCTTACACAAGGGCTTGGCAACTGAGCCAGTATTATTACATCCTTCTAACAAAAATCTACAACAGCTCATACATGTTATCTATGTATAAAACCTCTATTATTAGGAAAAAAATATATATATACACATTTTACATAAATATGTACATGTAAAAAACTATACACCAACTGTTAACAATAGTTCTATCTTTAAGCGAAATGAATGAAATAGATGGTAAGGGACTGAGGGATAAGAGGGACATTTTTATATTTTAAACATTCCTATATTGTTCAATGATTTTTAGTGACCATGAATTGCTTTTTGTAGTAATTTAAAACAAAATTCTCTAAAAGAATTACAGGGATATACACTCCAAAATTTTGTTTAGCTGTTTTGAGATGAACACTTCCTTTAAACCCAACAAAACAGAATATATTCTAAATTGGTACAGGGTTTGACATATCAGTTTATTACCTCCCAATGAAAATCCACCCATAATTGGCTGCTCTGTGGAAATGGAGATGGGCCCTAATTATCTGCTCTTCTGCCAGGTGGCAAGATGCTGAGCTCTGTCAGCAGAGGAAGCTGGAGGCACACTACAGGAGAAAGGGTTTTTTCCTTTCTAAGTTCCAGTGTACGGCTCCAGCCAGGCGCCAGCTTGGAGCAGCCTAAGCACCCAGCTCCCGCAGTGCACAGCAGCCAACCGTCCCCAATACTCTGTCGAGCACGTTCCCAGCAATGGTGTCACCAGCAAGGCGTCCCTCATGAGTAGCTTTCCCTAGCACCCCTTCCTGTGGCTTGCAGCGAGTTCCAAGGTGCAGCACCCCAAAGGGAGACTTATCCAGTAAGTTTGGTATCTCAGCAACTTCACTGTCCATTGAGTGACGGCTGCACTCTCTCCAACAAAGCCTGGATCCCGATACAGGAAGAGGACAGCTCATCCTGGGGCACTCTATCTCAGCCCTGGGGTGAGCAGACACTTAGTAAATGTGCTCTTCCTGTATTCTTTTAAGTTCTCTTTACTTCTGACTGGCCAATCCCTGTTTCTTCAATCATGGTATCGTTAAAAATTCTGTACACTAAACTTTCACTGTTCAAATTACTGTATGGTTTCTGTCTCCTAGTTGGATACTAAATGACAGTTCTTTTTTAAATTGATACACTTCACATACCACAAAATCCACTCTTTTAAAGTATACAATTCGACAGTTTTTAGTACATTCTGAGTTGTGCAACCGTCCCTATTGTCTAATATTATAACATTTCCATCACCCCAGAAAGAAACCCCATGCCCACCCATTCTCCCATCCCTCCAGCTCCCAGCAAGTATGAATCTACTTTCTGTCTCTCGATTTGCCTGTTCTGGACATTTAACTTGGAATCACAGGACATGTGGCCTTTGTGTCTAGCTTCTCTCACTTAGTATAAATGCTTCCAGAGTCCATCCGTGCCGCAGCAGGTACCAGTGCTTCACTCCTGTTTAATGGCTGAACAATACCCCACTGTCTGGATATGACACTTCTGGGTATCAGTCGATGACATTTCGGGTGACTCTACACTTTCTGACTTATGAACAATGCTGCTAATAATGCTAATGAGCATTTATATCCAAATTTGTGTGTAAACATATAATGCTTAATTGTCTTGGTACACAGCTAAGAGTAAAACTGCCAGGTTACACGGGCATATCCCTCTTTAACTTTTTGAGGAACTGAACTGGTTTCTGAAGTGACTGCACCACTTTACATTCCCACCGGCGCAGGAGAGGGTTCCAGTTTCTATCTTGGCCAGTGCGGTTGTCCCTCGGCATCTGCAGGGCACTGGTTCTAACAGCTCCGCTTCCCATGCCCGCATACATAAAATCTGTGAAGGCTCAAGGCCCTTACATGAAACGTCATAGTACATACTCGCTATCGTCTTTTTTTATTACAGCAATCCTACTGCACATGAAGCGTCTCATCGTAGTTTTGATCTGAATTTCCCTAATGACTAATAATGTTGAGCATCTTTCATGTGCCTAGTAGCTATTTTATATCCTCTTTGGAGAAATGTCTATTTAAATCCTCTGCCCATGTTATTTCTTTTTCTTGCCTAATTGCCCTGGGGTAGAACCTCCAATAAAATGCTGAATAGCAGTAGCCTGATACAGTTTTGAAGAGGAATACAGAGCCTAGGTTTGTGAATAAAACGCAAATTCTTGAGAAAGCACAATCAAACATGGCTTAACTCTATTAATCTGGAGAGACAAATGAAGCACCTTTTGTGTCTCAAAAGATTACCTCCCTAGAAGCTTTCACCCTAAACACATTTTATTTAAACTTTCAACCATTTTATCGACATCATAAACACAATCGTTTTAAATTCACTGTAACTAATGTTGACCAGTAATCCAGGTGCTATTTCTATTTTTGGTTCTGCCACTGGTCACCTACAAGATCCCATTTTTCCTCATGAAAAATGAAATGGATGAGTGGCTCAATTCAAAACTCACTGAGTAGTTTTCTCAATTTTTTTCCCCACAGAAAGCTTTTCTTCAAACTAATATTAACTGAAGTTGTCTCAACAACTCTGAGGTCACTCACACCCACACACTCAGGCCAAGAAAAGAAATGGGCTTTCCAGAATTTTTTAAAAAATAATATCACCGCAACTTATACTTTTTTAAAAATTTAGTTTGTTCATTTTAAGTAAGTTGACCTTAATTAAATCTCACCATTCTTCTAAAATACAAAGGATTCCTCAATGTTTCTACTTCAAACTATTTCTTGGTCTCATTTCATCCAGTTTCTTATCAAACATTACAACGTTCCAGCCACAAATGACTTGCCATTTCCTACCCAGGTCAAGTGTTTGTGTCTCCACATCCTTATAAAAGCTTTGTCTTCTTCCTGGAATATTCTCCCAGGACTTTTCTATCAAAATCTTAGTCAAGGTGACTTCTGTGAGGTCACCTTTGATGACTTCAGTCTGACATCATTTGTTTCTCTCAGGTTAGCAGTTTCACTTTGCCTTTCATTACAGCTAGTTTATGTTTAACTCTGCTACTTGAGATGAAGGCCCACATTTTTTATTTATCTAACACAATACCTTATCCTGACAGGAAACAAATGTTTATTAAATATTTTAGCCAATAGTATCAAAATTACAGTAAACAAGATACAGTTAAAACTTTTATTGCAAAGTTCTAATCATCTCATCTTGCAAGTCTACTACTTTGTTGGGTTTGTTATTTTTGTTTGTTTTTTGGGTTTTTTGCTTTGTTTTGTTTTTGCCACATCGAGCAGCTTATGGGATCTCAGTTCCCAGAACAGGGATTAAATCCAGGCCAGGGCCACGAAAGCCTGGAATCCTAACCACTAAGCCACCAGGGAACTCCCAACAAACCTTCTACTTCGAACAACACTGTTAAAAGCGTTCCAGGAAAATAATAAATGTATTATTTTTCTTGAAGGACTCCATTAAAACTCACTTGTATGGTATATTTAAACCTTTGACCTAAAGCTAAGTGTCAAAAAATACTTAGCCCTGGGGACTTCCCTGGTGGCGCAGTGGATAAGACTCCACACTCCCTATGCAAGAGGCTCGGGTTCAATCCCTGGCCAGGGAACTAGATCCCACATGCATGCCACAACTAAGAGTTCACATGCCACAACTGGGAAGACCGCATGCCACAGCTAAGACCCAGTGCAACCAAATAAATAAATAAATATTTAAAAAAATACTTAGCCCTTTTTGAAGAACCACAAGGCTACTCTTGAAATCCTTTCAATTATGTTTGGAATTTCAGAATGATGAGATTTAAGAGAACTCTAAAAATAATTCCATTACAGCAGCACGAGAATTCCCATTTTATTCTCACTTAAAACTCTATCAAACACTATGACTGTACCAACTAAAGACAAAATTCTCTTTGCAGGCCTTCCCTTCAGCCAACGGAGCAATCAGTGAGAAGGGAGAGCTTACAGCTCTCGCTGCTCCTGAGATCAGTAGGCACCACACCTTTGCCATCTACTCTAATGGTCTGCCCACAACATTCCTGACAAAGTAACATTGGTCTAATTCCTGGAAAGAACTGGTGCTCTTCACTGACACCTAAACCCAGGCTTGGCCCACTCTATGCTTCCGGCAACCTCCTTGCATCTCATGCCTCATTAAATGCCTCTGCACGTCGTGGTGCAGGCCTTCAGAAAATAACCCCCCAAATCAATTACTACTAAGAGATTTCTCAGTGCTTAGAACAGTTTCAGGGTTCTTCCAGAACAACTGAAGACAAAAAAAATTTGACCAATTCTGCCTCAGTATCAAGTTTTCCATCTGACCCTCTACCTCCTCAGGGCAATGTCTGGGTAACTTCCTTAGTCCTTAAATATGTGCACAGACCAAAGAACTCTGAAATTCAGATACTGTATGTGATATTTTGGAACACCTAGTTAATTTGCTTTCTAGCAGCAATGCTCTGATTAATGAAGTAGAAAACAT